TCCCTTAGAACCCTTTCTTTATCTGTGATCTTTGGGAGCTTGATTATTAAATGCCTTGCATAGTCTTGTTTGGGTTAAATCTGCTTCATGTTCTATGACCCTCTTGTACCTGAATATTGATACTTGTTTCTAGGTTCTCAAAGTTCTTTGTTATTAATTCTTTTAATAAACTTTCTATACCAATCTTGCTCTACCTCCTCTTTAAGGCCAATAATGCTTAGATTTTCCCTTTGAGGCCATTTCTTAGATCTTGTAGGCATGCTTCATTATTCTCTTCTTACTGTGTATTTTCAAATAAGCTATCTTCATACTCACTAATTCTTTCTTCTGTTTGGTCAATCTGCTTTTCAGAGACTCTGATACATTTCTCAGTTTGTCACTTGAATTCTTAAGCTCTAGAATTTCTGCTCATTTTTTAAAAATTATTTCAATCTCTTTTTAAATTTCTCTCATAGGCTTCTAAATTCCTCCTCTGTGTTGTCTTGAAGTTCATTGAGTTTCTTCAGGACAGCTATTCTGAATTCTTTGAAAGTTCACATCTCTCCATCACTCCAGGATTGGTCACCGGTACCTTATTTATTAACAGTTTGTTTGGTGAGATCATATTTTCCTGAATGTTCTTGATGCTTGTGTATGTTTGTTGATATCTGGGGATTGAAGAGCTAGGTATTTATTTTAATCTTCACAGTCTGGGCTCATTTAAACCCATCTTTCTTAAGAAGGCTTTCCAAGTATTCAAAGGGAATTGACTGTTGTGATCAAAGTCTTCGGTCACTTGGCCGTATCAGCACTAGGGATGCTGCCAGGACTGGGTCCTTCCCTTCAGGGTAGCATGTTTCCTTCTAGCCCAGGTTGGGTCCAGAAAGGCTGTGCCAGAACGAAGGCCTACAACTGAGGTGCTTCAGGAGTCTGCTCAATGGGCTTGGTACTTTATTTTACTGTGGCTGAGCTGGTACCTAAGTTGCAAAACAAAGTCCTCTGGACTCTCCCCTTTCCTTTTTCCAAGTGGAAGAAGACTCTTCCCAAGCCACACTGCCTGTAATTGAGGTGGGAGGTGACACAGGCACTGGCTTAGCTGCCACTGCTGATGTCTCACTGGGTCACATGCACCCCAAGTCCACTGGCTCCAAACCAGCACAGCCACAGGAATTGCCCAAGGAGTGCAGCTTTTGTGGCCCAACTGCCTTATGAGTTTAGTCCAGGCCCCAGGCTGCTTTTTGTCAGTTGGTGGTGGAGCTAGCCAGAAATCAGATTTCTGGCTGGGCTGGTCTAAATGCTCCCTCCACGGGCACCAGCAGAATTCTGCCCTGTGCTGTGTTCCCCTGTGCTGGGGCAGCCCTGAGTTTCAATGTAAAGTCCCACAATCATTTCACTCTTCCTCCCCCTGCACACACAGATTCTCTCTCCACTCGTGGTGCTGGTGCGGCACTGCCAAGGGCTGGGGGAGGGGTGGCACAGACAATGCAAGATTGTCTTTTCTGCCCTTTTCAGTGCCTCTCTCCTTGATATAATGGTAAAACCAGGGAATATGATTGCTCACCTGATTTTTGATTCTTCCGAAGGTGCTTGTTTGTGTGGATAGTTGTTGAATTTGGTGTTCGTGTGGAGAGATGATCGCTAGAGGTTTCTATTTGGCCATCTTGCTCTGCCCTCTTGGTGAGTAAGGATCTTGAGATGAGGAGATTATCCTGGATTATCTGAGGGGCCCTAAATGCTATCACAGGCATCCTTATGAGGGAGAGACAGAGGGAGATTACACAGGCAGAAGAGGAAGAGGCAATGTGATTATGGAAGCAGAGACTGGAATGATGTAGCCACAAGTCAAGGAGTGCTGAAGCCTACAAAAGCTGGAAGAGACAAGGAATGGATTCTCTCACAGAACCCTGTGGAGTGAGCATGGCCCTGCTGGTACCTTAATTTTAGCCCAGGGATACTGATTTCCAACTTCTGGCCTCCAGAACAATAAGAGAATAAATTTCTGTTGTTTTAAGGCACTAAGTGAGTGGTAATTTGTTAGAGCAGCCACAGGAAACTAACACAATTACAAAGAAGACTAAAGGGAAGGAGGCTAACCAAGGCAGAAAAACATGTCAAGAAATAAGGATTTCTTCACTCTTGAGAAAAGTTCCTTGAAAGAGTTGTCTGTGCTCATTGTTGCCTTTGTCTTTTATTGTCTCAAGGCTACTTATTGTCATTCAGGTCTCAGCTTAAATGTCAGGGAGGACTTCTCTGACCACCATATCTAAAGCAGCCACTGAGATCTGATTTTCTGTGTTCCATCCATAATATTTTCTTGTATACCTACTAACTTGCTTCAGCAGTGCAAGGCCCTCTTCTGTCTCGTTACTTGCTGAATCCCCATCAATGTTTGTCTGACAAATAGTAGGTACGAAATATATATTTTTAAATGAATAAAGGAACAAGTAAATGAACACTGGTGTGTTTTGTTCATACCTCTGTTCTAGCAACTCTCACACAGTAAGATAGTTACGGGTGTGTGTGTGTGTTTGTGTGTGTGTACCCCCATGTAGCCTGATCACTTCGGAGCTTCTAGCTTTAATAGCTTCATGGTAAACCCACTTCAGATAAGCAGTTTCACTTAGAGAAAGTCCTGGCAAATTGTGCCCTCACTCCCACTAGAGTAAATGACTAGTTCATAACTTCCAAGTCACTTAGGTGGTGTAAGCCATAAAATAACAATTAAATTTTCAGTCTCAGTCATATTTTTAGTTGTATGTTACCTAATACCACTGCCTCTGCTTTCCCTGGGATAGCATCTCACATTTGAGGATCTCAGGGTACATTATGAACAGTAACTAATTAAAGCTCACAAAACCCCAGAGACACAGGAAAGAGAAATATAACATCACCTCGCCCAGTTCTGAAATGCAGCCTCCTCTAGGGACGAGAATGGCAGCTGCTTAATAATAGACTGCAACACCTCATGACAGTTTAGCCAAGGCAATTAGTCATTGTAGTTGGTAATTGTCTCATGAACATCGGACTGTCAAACAGTTAAGTCACCAGGGTTATTAGTTCATCACAAATCTGATCCAATCTTTAACACTTTTTACTTTTTAGTAATCTTGTCCTAATTATAAAAGAAATAATATGCACAGTGAATGTCTACGTTTCTTTTAGTTGCATTTTTTAGTTCTTCAAATTTAAAACTTAAAATAGGAAAGAAGTATATTTTTAAAAAATAAAGTATAACTTAAGAATAGGGAGTTGATATAAATGTTTTCTTCATTCACAAGTCTGCTGCTGAGTAAAGCTAATCATTGATAGTAAAAGTCAAAATAGTGGATACTGTTGAGAGGAATATTGACTGGATAGGGAGATGAGGGAAGCTGGTGCTGGAGATGTTTTATGTATTCATCTAAGTGGTTTTTAAATAGGGGTGGACATAGTAGAAATTCACTGAGCTGTACACTTTTCGTATGTGTGTTATATCTCAACAACAAAGTCTGTTAACCTAAAAAGCATGCTACTCTTGTCATCATGAGAATGGTAGAAACCCCACATAGTCTACCTGGAAAACCCGCAGGGTGCAAGACATATTCAGGAGCTAGAGATGTGATACTTTTTATTTTCCTCAAAGCATCTTTCTTCAGAAGAGAGATTCTAAGTGCTTTGCCCTTCTCTTCTCAGGACATTTTCTCTTCATGCCAAAAGAGCTACCTTTTAAACTGAGATGTGATTCACTTTCATTGTACCTTTAACATTTTGCACCTCTCCAATTATGCCCTTTATACCTCCCTCAGCATCTAATTTTTCTCTTAGAATTTCATTCTGTTTCATCCACCTACATCTTTGCCGGAAGTAAGTATGAGGCATTAGTGATCTGGTAATTTGGGGTCGAGAAGTATCTGCACGGGTTGTTGCCATGGCAGACACTAGAACTCTGTGGGAGAGGAGGACGCAGAGAGGACCCTGGGCTGCCTCTGGCCTTACAGTGTCTGATGTGATAGTTAAAAACAAGACAGCAGAGCAGTGGGGTCTCTGGAGCCTCCAGTGGGCCCAGGGTCCCTCCTGCATCTGTGACAGCACTGCTGAGGCAGGACAGCCACCTGGTAGAGCGTCCCAGGGATGCCCCGAGCTAAGGCGGGAGGGCTGAGAGCAGATGTCCTGGCTGAGAATTCCCCAGCAGTGGGCACTGGTGGAGGCAGAAAGCAGAGCAAGCAATGTCCTCTCCCCATTACCCTCCTTCAGCATGGAAAGATTTGAAAAAAGAAAGGGAGGGGAAGGAGGGAGGGAGAGATGGACGAGCAGGAGGAAGAGGAGGAGACAAAATGGGAAATTTTGTTTCTACTATACTTTTTATTACAGGTTAAATACATGAAGCCTACCCTGATTATTGACTTTCCAGAATATATTAAAACAAGAGTGCTCAACTCTAGTTCTTCTTGCTTAGAAAATAGAAAAGTGAACATCGTGGTCACTGGCAGACCACAAGTTCACAGTATTTCCAAACAAAGAGCAAGCAGCCCTGTGCTAACCGTTGGCATTAGGTGGTACTGATGTTCCTAATTGTAGTCTTTTCCACCTTCTGTCTTAAGATCATTTCAAAGCCTGCCATCCAGGAAGTTGATAATCCATTGTTCGTAAATTTCAAAGGTGGCGGGGCCACTGTCAAAGGATCCCACTGCCCAGCGACTGGCAGAGGTGGCATGGCATGGCCTCCTGAAAGCCAGGCCTAGGCCAGACCCACCATGCATTGTTTCACTTCCACAACTCCCCCCAGGGGCAGCTGTCTTTTATCTCCATCAGGCAGATGAGGGCACAGAGAGGTCAAGGAAAGAACTTGCCCAGGATCCCTGTATCAGTGTCAACATTGGGTGGGATACCCTGCTCTTCCCACTTCAAAGTATTGCCCTCTGGAATAAAATTCTTCAGATATGCTGTAGTTTAAAAATACATGACCACACTGACCAATTTCCTGTGGTTCTGCAGGTATTTATCATCTATTTTCTGTCCTTATTCTGTTCTTTCTCTCACAGATGCTAAGCTCAGGAGTGGCAGCCAGAGTTCGCAAAAAACAATCGAGGAGCCACAGGAACCTGTCGCTCCAGAGGCCACGGAAAGCACCCAGGTAAGGGAGAACATTCTCCCATGCCCAGGGCACAGGGATGGGCGTGGGGGCTACTTGGGCCACCAGGGGTCCCTGTTGCCGGAATCACTACCGAGATGTTCTAATGCCTGATGCAGAAAAGGTCTCACTAGCACTAAGGTGGGGGAGACCACAGACTGGGGAGAGCAGAGGCCTGTGTGTTGGTAACAGGCAAATCACAGCCTCACTGGTGCTCCAGAATGCAGATCAGAATGGAATACCAGCCCTTCTCTGCCTTTCTCCCTCCCCACCCCCGGACTTCAGAGGGCTGAGGCAGATAAAGCTGCTCATTTAAAGCACATTGGGAAATGTAGACTTTCTGAAGAAATGTACACAGCATCTGCATACTCAAATGGAGCAGCATTTTCCCTGATTGGGCCCTGCAAACTACAGAAATGCCACCATAGCTCTCTGGAGAGTGGCTGGGCTTCGTTGTCCTTGCCTGGCCTCAGAAGGAGCCTCCTCCTGCACCCTCATGCCACCAGTGTGACGCTAGTAGAGTGCCGTGTGTGCTGCTGTTACTGCCCTAGCCAAAAAGGGGGATGTACCCACACCAAGGGTGTAGAATCAGCCATGTTATAAACCAGATGGGATTTGGCAGAGGGGCCCAGGAATCCAGCCATCTTTCCATCTCTACCAACCTCTGACCACTAATGGATTCACCATAATATAAAGGTGCCCATATTTTCTGGGCTCTGAGTCTTCACATATTCCTATAGGGCCTCAGGGTATGTCCCTTGTGTCCTCAGGAGCAAGGCTACTCAGGTCCCCTCCTTTTCAGAAGACTTCACCAAGAGGGTGCTACAAGAGTAGGGAAAACAAATTGACTCACATCTAGGTTAATGTTGTCAGCCTTGTGCCACATCAGCACTGTGTGTGGCCAGAATCTCAGGGTGTGTTTTACACTGCACAGCTCCTCCAGCCTCTGTTCCTACTGACTCTTCTACCCAGCTGGGCCCAGACCCCCTCCTCTTTCCCAGACAGTGCAGAACTATTGCTTCCTGGCCTTCAGCTTCCTCCTCTCTTTTTTTCTTCTTTCTTATCTTGAACAAAACAATGTTCCCCTTTACCCATCAACTCATGCAAAGAAATTGTGGGGATAAAGAAGAAAGAAGGAAGACCTGAGTCTTAGCACTAAGCCACTTGGATTAATCCCCTAATTTTCATGTTTTCTCTGTGGAAAAATGCATTCTGATCCCCCGAACCAAAAAAGGACCCAGCCTGTAACATTATAAGTGCTGATCTGTTCTCTGCACAGAGATTGGGTGCTCCTGATGGTCAGGCACTCTGCTAGGTGCTGAGGGTACCCAGGAGACTAAAACACAGCCTTAGCCTTCAAGAGGTTTTGGGATGGTGGGAAGAAGAGAGGTCTTCAATTAAGTATGTGGAAACGGTATGGAAAACATCCCAGAAGAAGGGACTCAAGGGAGAACTGAACCTTTTAAAGAAGATTGTATGGCATGGATTAGATTGAGGGAAATGAAGCTGATGAATGGAATTAATAAAACAAAAGTGCAAGGGACTTCTGCTTCTGCTAAGATCAAGTAACAGCAACTGGATTTACTCTCCTGCCTAAAACAACCAAAATGTGACTAAAATATATGAAACGACAGTTTTCAAGATACTGCTCATCACTGTAACAAAGGACAGTGATGCCTGAGAGATGGGAAACAAGCTAAGTGAATCCTATGACTGCCCCAGCTTATTACCTTGAGAGAATTTCCAGGCCACAACACAGGGCAAGAGGAACCTGTGTTGTTCTGAGTTGAAGAGACAGATTTTTAAGTTCATGGAGACTAAAGCCACTAAAGTTTGAAGGACAGAGTACCATAAAGGAGAGAGCTGCACAGAGAGAAGCATCATTGATCAGCAGAGGATCACTCTTGAGTATTCCAGTGAGTGCTGATCAGACCATGTATGTGAGGAGACTACTTAAGGTCAAGCTGAGGAAAGAACCTTCCCAGATTAGACTTAACAGTGCCTAGTGTTTATACAAGGTTAGGAGGAGTACCTGTTCTCACCAGCCAGCCTGGAAAATCTTATGAATCAGAAGACGCTGAGAGAGTGCAAAGATGAGTTTTTCTCCGTAGTGGGGAATAATTAGCTCTAGAGAGGGCACTGCCAGTTATGTTTAACAGATCATTGGAGCAAGAACCAAAGGGAACACACTGTTTCCAAGAAACTTAACTGAGTCCCAGAACTAAGTTTAAGACTATTTGCAGGAATACAAAATTACCTAGCACCCAACTAGGTAAAATTCACAATGTTTGGAATCCAGTAAACTTACTAAAGGTACTCAGAAACCTGGGACTATATTAATATGATGCATAAGATGGAGGGAAATGAATCAATTGAAACAAACCCAGATATGAAGAAATGTTAGAATTAGTGGTTAAAAACATTAGAACTGTTATTATAACTATATGTTTCAAAGGTTAAGGAGAGACATAAGAAGATATAAAAATGCCCCAAATAAAACTTCTAGAGATTAAAAACTTCAACAGGCCAGGCGCGGTGGCTCACACCTGTAATGCTAGCACTCTGGGAGGCCAAGGCAGGTGTATTGTTTGAGCTCAGGAGTTCAAGACCAGCCTGAGCAAGAGCGAGACCC